TCCTCCAGGGCCTGTCGTTCCGGGTTCGCTCGGTCAGTGTTGGAGAACAGTGGCTGCAGCATCAGAGCGCCCCCTGCAGGTCAGTGTTCCTCTGGTGGTCACATGGTCTGTATATATACATACAGTGTGTATATAGTCCATACTGTACATACTGTATATACTGTATATGACATGTATACCAGTGAACTGTCTATAAGGACAAACTGTAGCTGCTCTCTATATGAACCGTATGTAGAATATAGAGTCCATCAGGTCTGGACTTCACTGCTGTCAGGAGACACATGTTGTGAACTTAGGTTAGAAATAAGTTCAATGGAATACAGACAATATGCACAGAATGTACAGTATCTACAGTACCTACAGTATTTATGTTATTTACAGTATTTATATTGTTTCTCATGTTTCTGTCCGTCAGGAGGACTCGTGGTGAAGCCAAGAAGTGCCGTAAGGTTTACGGCATCGAGCACCGGGAGCAGTGGTGCACGGCGTGCCGCTGGAAGAAGGCCTGCCAGCGCTTCACCGACTGAGCAGCGCCGCCTGCTGGACACTTCGTACTCTCGTTCCTCTTTTTATTCCCACAAGTGTCGTTTTTACGGTTTGTTGTCGTCCTGAAGGACTTTTACGAACTAATGAGGCAGCTACAGAGCAGATCCACACCGGGCCGGACCGGACCGGCACCTGGACGGGCCGAGACCGTTAGAGGAGCAGCTGAGCTTAGCTGCTCTGGACCGTGAACCTCTACAGAACCACCGCTTCACTCTGCTGAACACGCTCAGCGCTCAGTTTATTAGGAACGGCTGCTTAAAGCTCCACACTGTTGTAAACGGGGTGGACAAAATAACAGAAACACCTGATAAAGCCTCCAGCTGCAGCGATCAATCAGTCAGTTGGTCAATACTAAGTTCATCTCCATCTGATTTAATTACCAAAATAAATAAACAGTCTAAACTCTGAGATGCAGCTTCCTCACTGTCAATATTTCCTCGTTTCTTTCCTCCTGTGTGAGGAAACAGGACCTTTGAGGAAACTTTGATCCTCGTTTTTCTGTTTTCTGGCGTCTCAGAGACCAAACGACGGATCCGTTTATAGAGAAATGAACTGTTGGTTTCAGCCCGACTCCACGTTAGTCTCAGTTAAAGAGGGAAAGAAAAAAGAAAAGCATCAAATCATCTCGTTTCAGAGGAAATGACGATGAACTTCGACATGATGAGGCTGAACGTAGAACCTGAACCTCAGCATCTCATGAACAGAACATTTCAGCCTTTGAATGGTTCTGATCCGATGTCCACCACCGAGCAGTGTTCCTGATGAACTGACGATGGACCGTGTTGCCATCAGTGTGAACCTACAGAACCAGCACCAGGTCACTGAGCTGCAGCTTCAGCCTGTTTCTGTGCTGGTTGGTCTTCACCATCCGGAAAACAAATTTAGCCGAATCCTCCGTCAGCAGCTGCAGTTTGACGGAAACGTCGGACGTTCAGAAGAAGAACTTTAAAACTCGTTAACGTTCAACCAGGTTCTGCAGAAAGAAAACGAAGAATCTGGTTGATGGTCAGAGTTCTAGTCTCTGAATCTGAACGTCAGTGTTCGCCACCACTCACCTGTCCTTACCCGTTACACCTGTCCCCGTCTATCTCACCTGTCCTTACTTGTCACACCTGTCCCCATCTATCTCACCTGTCCTTACCTGTCACACCTGTCCCCGTCTATCTCACCTGTCCTTACCTGTCACACCTGTCCCCACCAGTTTAGATCCTCCCTCCGTCTGTGTTCAGCTGTTTGGAAGCAGAAGCCATGCCCGCTCCTCTCTGAGGGAACCTTGCAGTATTGATCAAGAGGTTTGATGACATAAATCAGTTTAATCTGTATTTTCTCTATACTCGGCTCTTCCTGGTCTTTACAGTCACATGTATTCTGGACCCATTTATCCGACGTCAGACGTCCAAGATTTAGATGTTTTTCTATTTATATTCTGCTTATGAGCAAAAACAACAAAAAAACTTTTTTGATTGTAATCGTGTCATTTTTATGATTTCTTTTTATACACGATGTGAATCCTGATGTTTTATTAAAGCAGGAAAAACTGATTCTGGCTCCGTGGACTGATTAGAAAACAGCAAGAAATATAAATATATGAAAAATAAAAAGCAAAAAATACACGTAATAAAGAAATAAAAACAAAATTAAATTAAAAGTATATAATTCTCCCTAAAACATAAATGACAAAAAAGTGAAAGAAAAAGAAAACAAAGTAACATCAAATGTAAAATGAGGAAACTTCTACAGAGAAAGAATTTGGTCACAACAAGCAGCACGTTGATGAACAACAGAAACCAGCCGGAGACTCTGTGAGTGTTTTAAATAAAGTTTTTATTACAGATGATTCAGCTTCATAACAACAAACTGAACACAAACTTCCTTTAAACTGATGATGATAAAAAAAACTGCTGCAGGTAAACAAACTCACACACACACACACACACACCTAAACACACACACTCATACGACTGTGCTGTAATAAATTATATGTACAGTCCAGATCAGCTGACGGAGGAACTCAGAGACCGACGTCACTCTGCGGCGCCCGAGTCTGAAGACAGAAGCAGAAAACTAACGTTAGCTACGAGAGAAACGAGCACAGAAGAAGAAAACCTGGTAACTTCAGGAAATACAGGCACAGAAGAAGAAGAGCAGCGTTACTAATGTAGCTTAGGCTAACACTGCAGCTAACATTACCCTATTTAGGCTAATGTAGCAGCTAACATCATCTCATTAAGGCTAAAGTTATGTTGTTCGGGTCTATATAGAGGCTAACAGCAACTCATTTAGGCTAATGCAGCAGCTAACACTATGTTGTATAGCCTAATGCTGTGGCTAATGTAGTCTTGCTTAAACGAACACCCTCTTGTATAGTGATCGAAGTAGCAGCTAGCATTTTCTTATTTAAGTCACATTGTACTTAAACTAATTGCTGGTGTTAGCTTGCTCAGTCCCACATTACCTGTTTAGTGGCCAAATTTTAGGGGCAACATTTACTTTTAAGCTAACACAGTGGCTGCTGACATCCTGTTTAGGGTAATGGTATCTTGTTTAAGCTAATTCAGCAGCTAACAGTCTCCTGTTTAGGACAACAATGTCCTGTATAGTGGTCAAAGCTAACCTTTTCTCGTTTTGCTAACACTGTCATATTTAAGCTAGCTATGTCTTGTTTAAGCTAGTGGGTAATAAAGTAGCTAGTGTTCTGAAGTGATATTATCTCGTCTAAGCTAACATAATGGCTGCTGTGATCCTTTTTAAGGTAACGCTATCTTGTTTAAGCTAATTTAGCAGCTAAAGGGCTCTTGTAGGCTAAGGTTGTCTTGTTCAGGCTAACATAGCGGCTAACATTGTCTTGTTCATCTACAGCTTCTGGTATCCTGACATACGTTATCAAGACTGAAATGTGTTCTCGTGTCACATGTTTTGGCAAACAGGTCACATGTTTAGCGTGTCTGTATGAACATGGCTGTTTATAATCGGCACTTAACCTGAGAAAGACGAGTTCCATCCAACCAGAACCTCTACATGTGTCGGCGTGTGGAGCGTGTGGATGTGACATATTTACCATTTGTCCGTTTTGTTCTGGGTCGACTCGCTCTTTCCGTCACAGGCGACGATCTTCACTTTGTCGACTTTAACCAGGTCGGTCACCTCTCTGAACTCCACGTCATTCAGGACAAACGTCCACACGTTGTCGCAGAACCGGTAGGTGTTCAGAGAGCCCTGCAGGATGGAAACAGAATCGGGTCAAACTCAACAACAGAACCAGTCAGTGTTCCGTCCTGTCAGTGGTTCCTGTCGGTGTTTCAGGTTGAGCTTTGGGTCAGAGGGAGAGCAGGTGGACTCACCCTGAAGTTGACTCTGTTTCGGACTCGGTTGGCGAGCGCCGTGTTGATGGCTTTATCGAACTGGAGCAGAACCTGTAGAGCCAGCTGAGGAGTGATCTGCTGAGTCTGGACACAGAAACACACAATGTTGACTTGTTCTGGTTAACACAGCAGCTGACTTTATCTTGTTTAGGCTAACTTAGTGACGAACTTCATCATGTTTAGGCTAACATAGGAGCTATCATATCTTATTTAGGCTAGCATTGCTAATGCTATCTTGGTTTGTTTAAAACAGAAGCTAACATTAGGTTAACATAGCAGCTAACATGNCTGATGGCAGCGATGGTCCTCAGCAGCTTGTCCTGCAGCCCCCTGCTGCACAGCCCCGCCCACCCAGACCAGACAGGTACACAACAAACAACAACAACAACAAAAGGTTTAAACTGGATTTATAAACCAGGTTGTTGTGCAGGTTGGCTGCTGACAGGTAACAGGTCAGACTAGTTAAACGACAGACGACTGGTTTGTGATGGTTTATGATGGAAACCTGATTGGATGTGATACTGAGTGATGTCGCTGCTCCTCCTGAGCTCTGATGTTTACCTGCTGCAGCTCCTCCCATGGACTGCGGCGGCAGCGACCACTCCGACAGCGGCAGCAGCGGCTACTGGAGCGTCGGCCACGCCCTCGGCAGCCCCGCCCACTCTCCACCAATCACAGAGCCCGAAGCCTGCGCGGCCACGCCCACCGACGAGGGCCTGGACATGGAGCTGGAGCAGGTTCTGTTCGACGAGCCGGCGCCGCGGAAACGCAGGGTGAGCGGCGGTCTGGGGTTGTACGGGAGCCGCAGAGGGTCAAAGCAGAACGGTGACGTGAGTTTGTTCCTGCAGAACTCGGTGAAGGTGGCGTTCAGGTGTCTGTGGCCCAGCTGTGGGAAGGTTCTGACGACGGTGGTGGGGATCAAACGGCACATCAGGACCACACACCTGTGGTAAGGTTCACCTGACCGACACCGCTCATACGGAAGCTCATTGCAGACAAAAAAGTTCAGTGTGGTTTTAGCTCCCGTAGACTCGTGCAGACAAACCAGAACTTATTAAGACGAAACTGTTTTATATGTTTATATCTTGTATCCCGACCTTTGACCTTTCAGCCATGGCGGCGAACACGAGCGCTGTTCCCGCAGCGAGGAGGATTTCTACTACACCGAGATCAACCAATGGGAGCAGCCACAGCATCAGTCTCCGCCCACTATGCTGCAGTGTGGCCACGCCCCCTCCTCACCCCCCTCCTCCCT